CGATACGGGAACCCCTTGTGGTACGACAGATGTCAATAATGTAGTCAAGCTCTTGCTAGACTTTGGAAAATGTGTCTTGGTCTATTGTTTCGATAGCATTGGTAATCCGTTGCTGGATCTCAAGTATGCTATCTGATAATGGTGGTGTGTACGCCTTATCTTTGATGTATCCCCACAAGAAAAAAATCTGGGGGTGATGTCCGGAGATCTTGTAGGCCAGTTCAGGGGTGCGTCATTATTCGGACCACCGAGCTCGTTCCATATCTCAGGCAGCACATTGTAAGTTCAGCCCTACTAAAAAGTAACATTCAAATGCAGCCATTTCTCTTAAATTTGAAGTGTCAATTGCCAATATAGTGGTTACTAGGAGGATAATCGTTAACCCGGTTCTAAAGTGTCGTTGCACACTAATAACAGATTGGTTAATGGTTAATGTAATATTCCAACTAGCAAAAAGCTTTCCTGCCTTCAAATTCAGCCATTACACAACACTTACAACAATTGACTTGACAACAGCTTATATGCACCCAAACCAATGTAAATGAAACTTTATGAGTTTTTCTTTCCAATGGTACCAACTAAAATTGTCTTGAAACAAATTAACCCAGTAATATTTATAATCAAAATCAGGAACATCATTTGTAATAACCCTGTATTAGTTTAAATCGATGATAAATACAGCTGTTTGAATAAAATTAATAATTGTAACTCAATGCTACTACTGCTCATTCATTAAATAGGTTAATGGTATTGTTATGAGTTAATCCATAATTATAATCTATTCTTGGCCTGAATAATTAATGCTACGAATTCAGTGTGATCTACATTATCTAAATAGGAAATCCGCTAAAACGAGTGATTTCAGTAAAAACTATAAGTACCGGTAATGTTTTTTAGAAAATTCTATGGCTAAAAGTTTGTTGCTTAAATTGTTATAAACCTTTCTGGGACAACTAAAGGTATAATGTATTAATTTTGTAAACTGTGAATACGTATTTTATGATTTCATTTGATTCGAAACTCTATCTTTCCATAGCAAAAATACTTCCTTTTTCTCATCTGCAAAAAATTCCAGGTATCCATTGCGCAATACTTTAAATCTACCAATTCCCCGGCATTCCACTTCTTTCTTTCAAAGAAACTTCCATTACAATTCTGTAAAACTATTTAATAGACTTCCACCTCAATTGAAGGCCGAACAAGATCCAAAAAAGTTTAGAACAGGTCTAAAGTCCATGTTGTTAGATAGATCATTTTACAGCGTCCGTGAATTTCTACTTTAGTGGTCATTCACAAAGTCATGTGCGCATGTTTAGTTATTTAGTTATAGAATTTTATACAGTAAGGAATTTTTGTTATTAAGATGTAATAAATTTATTTTTCTTGTACTGACTTGGCTAATGCAAGTATTGTCAATTTGGCCCAATAAATGACTTATTGACTTATTATTATTCCATTTTTGCGCCGCGTCAGTGAAGTAGAAGGCGTACTAAAATTCCTGACCATGTACAGTCTTATATAACTTGGAAGATCTTATTTTTTATGAACCAGTTTACAATATAAGTGTCCTTTTATTATTCATGGACTTCCAAAAAAGAATTCACTCGATAAGAGTTTTGGTACGATCACTCGTTTTATTTAAGATATAGGCTAGGCTAAAATTGTAAATGGTTGTCGTTTAAATTTATACTAATTATAACATCTGATATTTTTCCTACCCTTATATTAAGTTTTAAGTCAATCGGGGCTCAAAAGGAATTGATAATTTGGTAAAAATCACAAACAGGCAGAAAACTAGACATTTTAGACCCACGTGTGTGAGTTTTTTTCGTTTTGACCTGAGGAACAAAAACAAAAGAAATCTCTCAACTTTGATGAAATTAAATGAGGTACAAATGTCTTTATATGTATTTGAATGAGTTCGCAAACCAGCATAACCGGACTATGGGAATGAGATTGCATGGGAGGTTTTATGTATGGTAAATATTGGTTTTCCCCATTTTTACTGTCAAAACATTAAATCTCGCAATTCCGCAATAGTCGCAATTTATTTACAACCCATTTTTTTACTAAAAAAGAACTGAGTCTATGTTGTAGCGTTATTATACGCTAAATGGCTACGGAGAAAATACAAAAAAAAATTAAATTTAAAATCCTCATGTTCTTAAGGCGAATAAATACAAACAGTTGTAGGTTTATAGATATGATTTTTCAAAACTGGCAAATATATTTATCTCAAACTAAGTTCTCATTTCACTAAAACACACTTTATAACAGTCTCTCTTGTAGCAAAACCTAATCACTTATTAAACCTAATGTTATTGAAATAAAGAATAAATCGTACACGTCCAAGGAAATATTTAATTGGAAATTCAATCAGGTACATGGAAATTAGCTTAGTCTGCAGGGGAATTGTACATTTAATATTGGTAAATTATAAGTAATTACTTACATAAATAATTAATTAATACATAGGAAAGTGTTGGAAGTATCTTATTATATATGTATGGTAACAATATTACCTCAAATAGTTGTAGATCATATTTACACGCTACTAAGATGACAGACAATAGATAATCAAAATTTCAAAGATTACCTTTGCCCTTTGTTTAAGTGTTTTACCGCGTTTTGAGAGCCCATATCTGGAGGGCCGTTTTTGTAGCCGTCGTTTTGAGGGCGGCGTTCGACGTTCGACACACTTGTCCATAGCAGACTACGGCGGGCTTGCGGCTATAGAGAGACCGACATTGCCTGTGGTCACCACTTAAACACTGTATTGTTCAGTTTCAAATGTGTTTCTCGACAAATTAGCCTCTGAATCACTATTACTACCATTTAACATAGGGATATAGACATAATTTACCCGAATATGATCAGTGAAGGATGAAAAATGGAGAGAGCCTTTGGAGGCTTTGTTACTGACTAACATCATCTGTTTCGTTAGGTTATTGTTAGAAGGATCAAGTACAAGGTCCAGTTTCGAACAATAAAACAGCTGAAATAATTTTTTTTAGAGTCCCTCTGATTAAGGAAAGTAAATAAAATTCGTTTATAACAATAACGATTACAATAACATAACAATAACAGTATAATAACAATTGATGTAGGTGAGCTTTAACACCGCTCAGTTTACATAGTAGCTGTACTTACTTGGCTGAAACCGTGTTTAAATAGTAAATACCCCCGCCGCAGCAAACCTGCAGACTAAGCGAATTTCTACTAGTCTGATTACATTTTTACTCAAATATTTCCATAAAATAAGACATATTTATTCTCTATTTAAATAACATTAGATTTAACGAGTGCTTAGGTTTGCTGCTACGGGGAAGGTAAACAGTGTATTTTGACCATACGTCAATAGTATAGGATGAAATAAATAAATTTGCCAAATTTTATCAATATGTACTGTATATCCATAAACAAGTAAACTACAATAATTTTCATTTTCTCCATAAGAATAACATGGGAATTTTAAATTACACTATTTTTGAATTTTCTCCGTGACCGTTAGGCATACAACAGCGCTTCAATATACTAAATTATTTCTTGTTTTAAGCTCTACAAAACGGTTTAGAAAGAAATTGCAAAGTTTTATTTTTTTAGGGTCAAAAATAGGAAAACCCCATTTTTACCCCATAAAACCCCCCATAAACCTCCGTTCCCATAGTCCGATTATGCTGGATCGCGAACTCGTTCAAATAAACGTAGGTTTACACGTTTGTACCAAATTTCATCAAAATCGGATCATTTTTGCTCGAGTTATCGCGCTAACGGACATATATATATATATGAATTTGAATGAATGGTGGTTTTGGCCTATAGGGACCTCAAAATGAAAAATTAAATCGGTCCCGGGTCTAGGTCTTACCATGAGTACTACGGTAATAGCTTATTCCCTATATGGGAAATTCGCTAATAAAAACAAATCAAATTTTAATCGTTTCATCAGCTGACGCATCCAAGACGAAACTACCGAGACGTATACTGCCTTTGAATATTAAATAAATAAATTTGAATATCTCAATTATTTAGAGAACTTTTGACTAAGTATTGATCAAAAGAATTACGTATACGTCTAGTTTCTGAAATCTCTTCTTAATCAGTTCACTGAGACAGCGGTGTACTTGTGCTAGCTTTGTAACTGACTTAGATCAGCTGGAGCTTTAGCCTACTAGAGTCGAGAGTATTTATTTCATTGATTTATAGGTTACAGAATCAGAAACAGTCAATATTTAATACTGTACTTGCTAATACATCTAATTAAAATTAACTAAATCTATGTACATTAAGTGGACATTTTACATTAAATGTGCACATTGCAAACTCATCGAGTGAATAAAATGATTATTTATAAGCCAATCCTTTAAGATGGATTTGAAGCGTTTGAACGAGCTCAGTTATGCATTCTGAGGTAGCCTATTACAAAATCTATCACAGTTAGTTTTAAGCGATTTGCCATAATTTTTTTATTATTTGGCCAACCTGTGTTGTGATATCCAGTTTACTCTTGCCTCTGGTATCGAGAGCATCGTAGTAGTCCCGGTGGTTAAATCTGCAAGATATTATTTTGTTTGGCCAGATTCGTTAGTTAAACGATCAATGATCAAGGGGTCAATGATCAGTTCGGTCCAGTTTTGGGCGCACCGGAAAAGGGCCCGAAACTTAAGGTAGATGCCGAAAAAGGGCCCGTTGTGCTCCTATAGAATTTTCACAGGCGGATTGACAAGAAGAAAGAAACAACAGCACAGTTGTAATCCACCAACAATTTACTGCTTAGAATCGAGGTTCCATCGAGTTAGTTACAGGAACATCAAGGTAGTGTTATCCTTTCGCAAATGGGTTTACTTAACAAAATAGTAGAGCATAATTTCCTTTAATCTTCAAATCCCTCCATGTATTTACCAGGGGGAAAACGAAGTAATCCCACAACAGTTTCCAGTTTGGATTGCACGTCCAAACAAATGAATTAAACTCCCAGCTGACTCCAGTACTGACCACAGACAGATGGAGTACACCTGTCACTCCAGGACTGTGAAGTATGGAGTATGGAGTGGTGTGGTAGTGGAAGGGACGGTCCAAGTGAAATCTTCAGTACCGTTACCTGCGACTCCCTGCTTGCCGCTCTGAGTCAGTAGGCCACAGTCCCGTCTGCAGGCAGTAAGTTGTCGTCTCCTTCCATAACTGTATAACACGTGCATTTACATAGTCATATGTTAATATTAACATTACATTTTACAAATAAATTCATATAGGACAGTTATTTTAGAAAAAATTATATTTACTGTAAATTCAGTATTTTTTTGTATTTTATTGGCAGTAAGGTAAAACTTTAATTGAGTTTCGGTATTTTAGATAAATTTAGCTTTCGAATCTCATTTAGCTATACTTTACTGTTCTAAAATGCAACAAAAATAACCGTTGAAGTTTGCTAGTTTAATCTTGTATGAATTATTTTCAAACTCTTTCTTGTTTATATCGTTTCGAATGAAATGCTTACAATAAGCTATTTCCACAGACGTCAAGTGTCAAAATTCTTCACGGACTTCAAATTTCACAGGATGAGATTTAAAATTCCTGAATTACAAAGGTAGCATTATTGATTACCAATTGTTTAAAATGCGTAACTTGTATTCAAATAGTGGACAATTTGTGTGCATTTTGTGTGACAACAAAAAATATGAAAGGGATTGTACGTGTACACCTTTGCCAAGAAAGATTTGGAAAATAATATATACAAAATTCAACCTGCAAACTGACCAACGGTTATTTTTGTCCTAGCATTTTAGAACAGTAAAATATACCTAAATAAAATCGCATCCGTGAAATATTTTGGTTATAAAATACAGTACAGCATTTAATTGCTGAATTGCGAACAAACATCTTCCTCATCAACACTACACAACACTGTTTAACATACTTGAAACACTCATCATCCCGATGGATCATCGTCCTCTTGGATGATCCATCGGTGATGTGTTTTACAACTCCCTTGACGTGTAGGACATCTAGCGTCTTCTAGACGGCAGAAGAAGACTTTACTCTCAGTGCTGTAGACTACATGTGTGGGGAGTGCGGGGTGTAATGGGGTTCGCGATCTGACGTTCTCCAGGACCTCTCCAGAATTTCTCCAGATATCCAGGACTTCTCCAGGATTCCAGGACCTCTCCAGATATCCAGGACTTCCTACAGATCGACCACCCCGTCAGAATACTAGAGACCCCGTCTACAGATGCTGGTAAGTGTGAAAGTGTCTGGAGAAAGTGCATGACCTCCATAGTATAATGTTCTTTGGCGACCGCCGGGCCTCTGGATCTTACCTCCTAGCCTAGAGGTTCCGGCAGCATTTTACCGCCATTAACACGTTTTTATCTTTCTGACAGCATGACCGATTGTGGGTGAAAGGATTGAGAAGTTCTGTTTTGTTCGCTATTCCCGTTTGTTTGGGTTTCCACAGATTGGTGTAGGTTTCACTGCAGCGTTTGAATAGTTATTAATTTTCATCAAATAAAATCCAATGTGCTATTTTGACACAAAAGATTTCATTAACTGGATATCTTTCAATCGGTTTAATAGCTGTGGGGTGATTCTAGGGGGTTATTATTGAGCCGTTCTCGGCAAAGTTTAAAAAATATAAACGTAAACGAAGCGCGGGGTCGATCCCTTTAGATGTCCATAAAATGAACATAACAATAGTTATTCGTTTGGTCGGTATTATAATATATAACAAATACTCACTGTAAACTCGGCACCACTATTGCTATTCCAGAAACGGTGTTATTTAGAAAAATATATAAATGTCGATCTTTACATTTTTATGAGAGAGAAAACATTACCGATGTAAAAAATATATTTTAAACATGTTTTTGCATAAACATTCAATATTTTGCCTCAGAAAGAAAAAAATAATAAACTTGGTGCTTTATGGTATAAGAGTGTTACCACAATCTTCCCTTTTTTAATGATGTTAAACAATGATTTTTAATGATGTCCCTTGTTAATGTTTTTATAGTATTATTTACAATATTTTTTTAACATTGTACCTACATTTTTTTAATAATCATAAAGTTATACAATTCACTCTGTATTTCCACGACGGGTAATTAATTTGAAAGACAAGTTATGGAATTGTGATCAGTAGTAATTTTTAATTATGGTTACGATTCGGAGCACCAGGAACAATTGTACATAATATTTTCAACTTCTGTAAAAACTCTAAATTTTATAATGTTATGTAAATAAACGTTGACTCGATAAAACATCTTCACGATAAATATGCAACAACTCATTGCAGAACTTCTGCATATTACACCGATTCTATTAGCTTAGAATTGATTATTGTCCTAACAGGGTTTGCAATAAAAAATTACACTTGCATGCTAATTTTCATTGTTTAATTGTTAATATTTATTCATTTAATTTGCATTGCTATTATACGCTTACTCCTCGGGGGGCACAGCCCTAGGAATCGGAAGAAAATTGTTAACGTAAGCATAGGTCGATATGCATATCAAAGGTCTTCACTAGTAGATTACAATGCCGTAAATTCAAGATAAAAAAAACGCCTGAGTAAAAAATGGCAGTCGTTCAAAGATTCAAAATGGCAGATTCAAGAAATCTTTGAACCGCTGTCATTCTTGACTCGGTTGTCCGTTTGAGTTCAAATTTGCAGCATTATATTCTGCTAGTAAAGACCATTAATTTGATTGTCAACCTATGCTTCTATTTAAGATTTCCTTCTGACTCCTTGCGGGACGTCCCCATGATATGACAGAAAATTTATAGTTCCTTAAAAAAGTAGATTTTTAGGTGTGGTGTTGAAGTGCAAAATCTTATTGATTTATCTGTTGTCGTTTAGAAAATATTAAACCGGTCCGGGACTTTTGGGACAGTCTGTATAATAACAAAGAATATATTTCGTCAATAGATTGTTTCTGCTGGACAGCTGAGAGGCACAGTAATATGTTGCCGATACCTGAGAAATTAATCAGCTATTTGATGGTTTAAGTGTTGAAACTGCTCACAGCTGTGCTTGATTATTGGGCTTTTAATAAACGGTCACAGTTATGGAAACAGCTGGTACAAAGCTAGATTTTCACTACATTATGCATTCTTGCATTTATATTCATTTTAAAGGCGTAGGTACCTAGGTGTGTGTCCTACTAATGGCTGGTAATGGTAATGATTTAAAGGCATACTAACGATTTCTAAAGATAATGAATTGTACTATTTCAAAACTTTTGTTTTAATATACTTATGAAAAATTGATAAACTGTAGTAGCTTTCTTGTTCAGGGATGTATTTTGATAAAATTTGACGAATGGTTACTTCAAACCAAGCTATTACCATCTGAAAAAAACACTTTATATAGCACCTTCCCTGTTGCAGCAAACCTATGTACTCAATGAAATAAATGTTATTTAAATAGGAAATAAATCTTACCATTGAAACCTACCACCAATTACCTTACTATTGGTTATATTTTACTAGAAATCCAATCAGACGAAACGCTTCGGCAGGGTATCATAGTTTTTCAACGGTTTGTGGCTAGTCTATAGTTTTGTGTGTTCAGAACGAATTTTATTGCCATGTGATGTTCCAACGAGATGTATGCGAAATATTTTGTTGGTTTGTTTTATTATTTTAATTGAACTTTCCTAGACGAATTGGAAATTTCAACCGAAGCTTAGGTTCCGTTAGCTACCGACAAATTGTAATATTGATACCATAGTATGAATGTTGTAATATAATTGTACAATGTGAATGAACATATTATATTTAGAAGGTATATTCATTATTCACCCACTCTATCTGTTAACGAAAATAATTGTAATGCATGTTTGAGCAGGTTAGTAGTTAGTTAGTATAGTTATTTAATTTTTATTATATACTAAAATATATACTTCCTATTCAAAATACATATCACGTGACATACTAAAGTTATAACTACGAAATGTTTCGGAACGATTATCACTACAAGCCTGCTCAATCCGAAACGAAGGCACAGTCATAATAAATAGGTACTAGTTATTGTTAAAATATATATTTTAAATTATGAGAAACATCCATACTATTTATTCTCTAAGCAAAGTTGAAAACATTTGATTCCGGTGGAGAATTTAACTTGAATCTACTTATGCTGGATTTTATTTCTTTTACAAGGGTAGTTTTGTTTACGCCTAAAGTTATTTCGTGTTCAATTTTGGTCATTGTGATTAAAAAATAAATACTCATGAGAGATGTGTTGCTGTGTAGTCATTTTACATTGTTACACAACATTTTTGTATAACCGTATTACTATGGTAACAAGTTTATGATTGTTCGACAGCCAAGAAAATTTGACAAGAACAAAGTTCGATACTAACTCATCCACTTTACCATGTAATATTTATTGTAATGATATTTGTTGTTGTTTATTCGTGTGCGAACTCGCAAGAATGAAACTGGAATCAAAGTATTTATATATAAAAATATGGTAAAACATAATTTCAAAATTTAACCATAGTTGTTTGTTTATTTTAAATTATCTCATCATTTTCGTGGAAATTCTTCACAGAGACTGTTCTTTAAAAAACATGTTTTACTTTAAGTGATACTTTACAGCTTAAAGTGGGTCTGATTCACTGGACCACGTCATTGCATTGGTGATTTGCGGGATTTGAACTCGGTCCCCCAGGATTGAAGTTCCGCGTTCCAACCACTAAACCTGCAATTCCCCTTAGCTTTACCATGATTTTATCACATTTTACCCTAATAGATATAGTCACTTTTATCAAGTATACACGTTTTTGCAGACCTACTTACAGGAATTCCTTATTCTACACCAAATCATGCCATAAACCTTCCTGAGGTTATCAGTGCCATTCAAAAGTGAAAGCAAATTCGGCTAAACGTTATACGACTTTTATATGGGCTATATGGTATTGAATGGCGAATAGCTAGAATTAAAAAATAGGCAATAAAAGTAACCCAGAGGTAAATTACTACTCTGTTAATTCCAAGAATGAACTTTCCAAGGTGGTAAACGTGAGAATTTCTTAAATTTGCAAAACTAACAGCGGTGTTGGTATGCACTTACCTTTCTACTTTCTCTAGCTTAGTGGGTTGGGTTTGTATGATTTTCATGCTGATAATAAAATCCGTTGTTATAGAATTTTCCATGTAGAGGATAAGCTATTACTGTAGGTCGCAATGTAGGAACTGGATTCGGGACCGATTTAATTGTTCGTTTATAAGTCCTCAGAGGCCAAAAACACAATCCATTAAAAACCATATATATATATTATATGCCCGTTAGCACAATAACTCGAGTAAAAATTATCCAATTTTGAAGGAATTTGGTATAAACCTGTAAACTTACATTTTTTCAAACGAGTTCGCGAACCAGCATGATTGGACATGATAGATATACGTAATTTTACGGAGGTTTTTGTGGGGGGAATTATGTTTTTGCATTTTTAGCCCTGAAAACATATAATTTTGCATTTTTTCAAACCATTTTGTAGAACTAGAAAAATCAATAATTTTGTATGTTGAAGCGTTTTTATTTGCTTGATGGTTAGGGGATAGTAAAAAAAACTGTAAATTTTAAACTCCTATGTTGTTTTTATGAAGAATAACAACTGTTTTAGTTTGATTGTTTGATTATACAGTATTTTACCATAATTTAGAATATGTGATCAAAGTTGGAAAATGTATTATTTCATACTAAACTATTACAATTTCGATTAAAAACTGTATATTTTCCCCGCAATAGCAACCCTAAGTACTCGTTAAACTAAAGTTATTTTAATAGGGAATTGATATGACATTTTAAGGAGATATTTTAGTAAAAGTCTAATCACACAAATAAAAATTTGCTTAGTCTGCAGGTTTGCTGTGGCAGGGGTGTTTTACACTCGGTTTCCACTGCAAGTGGAATAATTAGATTTATAATAAAAGTATGATCCAATAAATACAAGGGTCCAAAAACCCGTTTTATTTCTTCGTACCGATTTCCGATGATTCGCAATGTTTAGCATAACATGCGAATTTAACAACTCAGTTTTTAGGAATTTATATTAATTAAATATAAGAGACATACTGTAGTATTATTTATATTTTTTTCCTTTAACGTAAAATGATATTAATTAATCATGCTTGAGCTCTTTAACTGTTTATTGAACATACTCATATAACTTGAATATGCAGTACCTGAAATTCGTAATCTATATATTATTATGTGACTAAAATCGACAG